GGCCTGAACAACTAACATTATTCTTTATGCTACAGTGGCACTGCAACACAGCAGCACTTCCTAAATGTGGTACAGATGGGATGTGTCCCATAGAATGAACTATAAATGTACTTTGTACCTACAGAAACACAGGTTTTGTCATTGCCCAGAGACTTATGATTCCTCCATCTTCACTTTTTCAGAGCTGCTCACAGTTCTCAAGTTGACCTTGCATCACTTGATATGACTGCAAAGGAGACAAAAGTATAGGCAGGTTACAGGTTCATGGTGACTTCATAAAAGCACAAGCAACTTATAAATCTGGCTTGCAAACATTAGTCAAACACCCCACCACTTTAGGAAATACAGAACAATTCCTGCAAAAGGCCTTCACAATAACAATAGTTGTATTGTTATTTAAAAATTGGTAAGCTGTCAGCATTAGGTGGAGCACTATTATTCCACATCTTATGCTGTGTTTCCCAGCTGAACTAACAGCTCTCAGAGGGCAATTCAAGGAGCAATCTGTGCTTGCCAGAACAGCCATTGTACTAAGGCAAAGATGAACGTGGGTGTGGGTAAGAGGCAAAAAACATCAACAACTAAAGCATCAGAAACAAATGAGGTATTGGGCTCTTGCTATATCCTTGCAATATTCCTTTTCCATTTGTATATGGCTTGTGCTACCTTAGCTCAGTACTGGTATTGCAAGATCACAGGCAGAGTGAGAGAGCTCTTCCTGACTCTAACAGTGCAAAAGCAAGTGAACTGCTCCTAAAGATGTTGTCTAACCTGCTCCTGCAGATTCCTAATGAGATTCCACAGCTCACCCACACAGCTTAATGCACTCCTTAATTAGCCTTAAAATGTCTATAAAGTGTTTCCTAATATCTAATATGAGTAGCCCTTAGAGTGGTGGGATCTCATTACTCCTTGTCCTAACTGCTCATCCTCATGAAAACAAAGTCTTGCTTTTATTACACATTTTACAAATCTCTGTGGTTGCATGTTGTGGGACCAAAGGTGAAATTTTGGTTTTATGTTTGCATAATTGCCTTCTATTTACGTTGGACTGGTGTTTCAGTTTCCCAAGACTGCCTGAATGCTCATCTCAATTTATGGTAGCCCTTCCAGTCTGGAATGAGGTAAAAAAGCAGTGAGAAAACTCTCTTTTGTCTTGAATGTTACTGTGGAAAATACCAGTGCCAGAGGTTTTCAGAGGTGTGGAGATTTGCACTCCGTATAATCTTTCAATCAAGTAGCAGTTTCTTGACCAGATTGGCACCAAACTTACAGATGTTTCTCTTTCTCTCTTGTTGCAATAAAAGTGCCAGAAAAATTATGTTAGAAGCCTCCCATGAAGGCGAGACCTGAGGTTTACTTCCTCTTTTGCAGCCACACAGCCTATCATCCTGTTTTTGGGGAAAAGTGATGTGATTTTTCCCTTGCAGAAATTTGATGTGATTTTTTCCTGAATAGTGCAGTTCAGCAGTTTCTTTCTTCCTTGTTGGGTGCAAGTTATTTGGTACCTTAAGGAAGAAAGACTTTCTTTTCAATCAGGCACAGATTAATGCTCATGTTCTTTTTTCCATTATTCAAATAATTAGATCAGCTCTCAATTTTCATATCACATTTATCTTATTGCATTTACTTCTCAGCTTTTCTGGTTTTATGCCAGGATGTTTACAATTCTTTTATACAGAGCTAGGCACTTTAACACTTGTTTTTGGAGGTCAGGTCACAAAAGATCTCACAATTTTAATCAATTGTACTTTCTTGATCTTGGGACAGTTTTGACATATGCCTTACACACTTTGGGGGTTTGTGGGAATTTTAGAAGTAGGCCTTGTTTTAAAAATGCATTAATTTTATTCTTTTGTTCTTTTTCTTACTTCATTAACGAGCTCTGTCATTTTTACAGTTAATTTTAAAGAAGTTACCTTCCTTTTTTGTTTTGTCAGCAACTTCCAGTCTATATTTTAACACCAAATGCACACAAGTGCACTCAAAATTGCTTTTGTTGTGTTTATACGAGATCTTCCTTGAAACATTCTGAAGACTTTCAGGGCACCTTGTGTCCCACTAAGTACCTCTCCTGTCTCATGTCTGGGATGTCAAAATCCACCTCTAACTCATAGCTCTTGTAATGGTGATGACTCAGGTGTTTGTTCAGTTGTCTACAGTCAGAGACAACAGCAAAATTAAAGCATAAGGCACACATCATGTCCACAATGTGATTCATAAATTTACACTGTAGAGAAGATCTCAGAGTCCAACCTGAAGGGGAGGTGGGATGATTTATCAAGTGGAGATGTGATGGTTTTGTAGAGATGTAAAAAACTGCAGTGGGAGCTGGGGTAGGGATCTCATTCCCCTCTACACTGTTAAACATTGTGGGGTTTGTTATGGCCCTCAGAAGCTTATCATTATTTAGCAAAGATTATTTAATTATCACATTTATTGAGAACATGAAGAATAGCCCATTAATTGTGCAGAGCCTTTGAAAACACTACAGATCAACATACTGACCCTGTAATTTACACTGACACAATTGTCACTCCAAAATGGAATTCCCCATGTGCCTCAGCCCTGGATATCATTACCCTGCAGCTGGCAAAGTGGAGCAAGGTTGGTGAGACAGCAAAGCCACTGAGTGTTCACTCATATCCCCTGCCCCACAAAGCAAAAACATGGACAGCTCCCTGCATGGATTAGGCAAAGCAGCACAGAGCCAAGGTGGAGCAAACACTGTACCTGTCTGCCTCATCTGAAGGAAAAGGAGGACAGTGGGAAGAAGCCACATTGTCCCACGATGACCTGCCATGCCCATCCTCCGAGCGCAGTGCGCATCACCCGCTGCTCGCTCTGCAGGGCTCTGGGGCAGCTGCTGAGGGAGAAACACCACAGTGCAAGGGTCAGCCACTCATAGAAAACAAAACCTCTGAGAGCAAAGTCTGCACTCAGTGTCACCACGGCACGGTGTTCAAACATGAAACATGTGCGTGTGCTGCAGCAATGCCCCACTGATAGCTTTGTGCTGGCAGAGCACCTCTAAGAGGCTTTCCTCTCAAAATTTGGACAAAGCCTCTCTAAAGCAGCTGGACTTTGCAGGCAGCCAGGAGCTAGAGTGGGTGATGTGGCTCTTGCAGAACAACCAGAGCCAGAGCTTTGTGCCTCCTGTATGCTGGGCCGAAGCAGGAAGGCACCCCAGAAGTGAGGAGCAAATCAGGGCACCAAGTTTGCAGGTCTCAATGAGCACATTGCAAAGTTGTTATCCACCTGCTCTGCCACAAGCACACTTGGACAGAGCACACTTCCCCAGACTCATCAGTTTCCATGCCATTATGAATGTTGGGGGTGATTATGGGTTTTATGTGCTGTTTCCTTTTGTTCAAGCCACTCCAAGGGGACAGCTCTTGACAGGCCATTGTGCTCTGGGAATCAGGCTATGGAAGAAAATCCTGCCAGGTCAGTCACCTGGGCCAGGGAGCAGTACACAGGAAGCTTGTTCTTACCATGCTAGTGCAGGGCACAAGGGCATGACCTTAAAAGTGACAATCTGCTGGTACTGCTCACCTGGAAACAGAGAAAACAGGGGCTGGAGAGACCTACAGGGTCACCCAGCCCAACCTACTGAGCCAACAGGGGATCAAATCGACCTCTTTCAATTTTAGCACTGTTGGACACTGAGCCCACTGCAGTGTGTTTTCCTCCCAAAGTGCATGATGCCATAACAAAGGGCAGCTTGTCCACATGTGCCCCTTAGGGCAGCCCCCATCATGCTGCACACCTGACATCTCCTTACATTTCCCACTCTGGAAGACAACCAGCACCAGAGACTTCACAGCCCTCCTGGGAATATCTACTGCAGGGCTTCTCTAGTCACAGGGCTTACTCACCATCCTTCTTTTCCTCCCCCTTAGGACTGGCTTTTCCTTGAAGGCAGAAGAAGCCTGAGCACTAGAGACTAGCTCAGAGCCTCCCTGTCCACCATCCTAGGTACATGTCAGCTTTTGTCTGAGCCAGCCATGTGTGCTTTCCAAGAGGAATTCCAGTCTCTCAAAATCCACCAGTTTACTCAGCAGCTGTGTCTGTGTCCCTTTCCTGATTTTGCAATCGGATCAAATTTTGCTATGTAAAATCACTTTCCTGCCCACAATCAGTGCTGGCTGCAGCAATACTTGCTGTTTGCAGAGGTGTATTTTGGGTTTGTCAGTCTGCTTTGCTCACAGCCCCTGCTACGTGAAATGAGCCAGTACCAGCTCAAAGCCTAAAAGAGATGGAGCAGGTGCCTATGAGCACATTGGAACATAAGAGATTGGAGAAGCTTTGAAAAAGCCATCAGGATTCTTAGGGGGCAGACCACATGATGGATAGAGGCTTTTGGGGCTGGGCTTGTTAAAATTACAATAAGCAAGAACAAAAAAAGAAAGAATGTTTTATTTCAAATGCTGGTGTACATCAATATTGCACCTAACAGAAACAGCTAGAACAATACACATGCAAGCAGTTTTCCAGTCCTCAGCCATACACAATCCAGAACAAGATACAGAAAACACTGAATGTGCACATATATATATTTTCTGATGAGCAGAGTGTACAAATTAATCTATAGTGAAGTACAATCCTTATAAATCAAAACCCCTCGTTATTTAGACGTGCAAGACGTCCTGTTCTGTTAATCTTCTGAACATATCTCAAGGTAAAAGCTAAACAACTCCAGTATGGATAAACTCCCTGCTGAGCCAGATGGCTGCAATAGGAGGATTTAGTAACTCCCATCCTTCCTGCTTTCATCATGGCTAGTGACTCTTCAGAACATGTTTAGGAGCCTCTGGTAGGAGCACACGTGACAACAGATAGGAACCACAATGGCCATTGATAAAAGTTAAAAGAAGCCAAAACCCCAATCAGCAGCCTTTTTGCTTGGGGAATTCCCTCATTTAACCAATTAACCAATTTCAAAGACCCCCACAGTCCGCAGAGATGTGCTTTAAAGCCAGGAATAATACAAATGGAAGCAGACCATAACTTTAGGGAGATGTCAAAACCAACTTAGCACATGAGCAGGAAAAGAAAGTTTCCATTTCTAATCCTGCACCTTGGCAGGTAACAAGGAGGATCAAGGGACACAGCACCACTACAAACTCATGACTGTCCTTACCCAGCGCAGGAACCGGGACAGTTTGGTGTAGACCCCATATTTGCCTTTCCTTGCACATCCTTCACCCCAGCTAACAATTCCAGTAACAAAATAAGTATCCTTGTATCTGGTCACATGGGGGCCACCACTGTCTCCCTGGCAAGCATCTTTTTCCTCTGTGTCATAACCAGCACAGAACATGTTCTCAGTTACCACAAAGTAAGTGGATTGCTCACAAGTGCTCCTATTAACATAGGGGAGTTCAAGCACCTTCAGTTTCTTTGGGAGTTGTCCACCATCATATTCCCGCCCAAAGCCACTAACCCTCCCAGATTTCTGCTTCATCAGAACTTCATTAGCAAAGTCTGCTTTGGGGAGACATGCTGGGATGACGTACTCTGAAAATCTGATAGGTTCCTTCAGTTTTAGTAAGGCGATGTCATTATCGTAAGTCTCAGCAATAAATTTGGAGTGAACGTATATTTTGTCCACAGTGTGCATTGATTCAGACTGCTCCTTCTTCTCTCTGTCCACCTCACCTGCACAAGAGCATTAAAAGGGTCATCAATGTGAAGAAAGTATAAGAACTTCAGAACAACCTTGACAGAGGAAGAGAGTAGTATATTCATTCTGTGTACTTTGCCCAGGACCTTAGACCACACAAGGAACCAGGTATGGCAGCATTTCTTAGCAGCAACTGGATTGGCTTTGGTCCTGAGATTTGGTCTATGGAGATTTTTATGTACCAGTTTACACAAAGGCATAAAACTAATGCAATTTTGTGTGGAAGCACTTCCAGGAGCTTGAGCCTGGCTTAGAGAAGAGAACAGGGTCTGGACTACAACAGTGCAAAGATGAAACTGTGCTGATTCTGTGTCCTGGCTCAAAGGGAAGCCATGGGAAATCTGAGTTTGTTCTTGTCTGCTCTATTCAATGAGTCAGAGCTTTTCTGAGGGTTCTTGCAAGAACAACTCTGGATGCTTCTGAAGTGCCAGGAATGATGGGCTTCCTGCACAAGCACTGCTCTGCTGAACACCTTGATAACCAATATTTCTAGAATATTTAACTGCAATCACTTCCAGCTAGCTGGCAGAGAAGAAAGAGAGGCACCTGTTGTTACAAAGAAGGATGGTCAGAATGACAAAAAATTATAAAAAGCAGCCAAAAGGTAACAAAACTCAATGAATCACGACTACATCTCATGGGTGTTTTAAGGCACAGAAAGTTCGGCCCAACAGCTACTCTCACCTCAGAGGAGTAAAAGAAATAATCACTCACCAACAACAACTTGGATTTCTTTGGATTGGTTTATGCAATGAGCTGCAGTAAGTATGAAATTTTCTTTCAGAATAGTGCCACCACAAAACTCTTCTCCTTCCTCATTTAACAGAACAGCCTGTGAAATAAAACAAGTGCACAGGAAGAAGTGCAGTTTAATGTCGACAAGCTATAAAGCGTTACTGACTTCTTTGCACACTACAGAGATGCCTCTCACTGCAACATGTATGCGGCCCTCCACGTCCCTCCTAGCTTTGCATTTCCCCATGCAGAGGCTGCTGATTGACTTCTACTGCTACAGAGTCCGGATTGTCTCCATGTGAAGTTAAAACATTTGCCTTCCACATTACCTCACTGCCAGTGCTGAGTAAGCCCCACAGGCATTGACTGACTGAGCAGGCAGAGTGCAGATTCCTGATCACCACATCCCTTGGACTTACCCCCCAAGCAATGTCCAAATACAGGAATTCATTTTGGCTTGCCCAAACTCAAGGGTGAAACTGAGACATGAGTGAGTATTTGTGAACCAAAATGCTGGCTTTATCTGCTTTATCACCCTGCTCTCAGGTGCCTGCCAGGGGTGATGGTCTCAGACAGAACGAAAATGTAACCTGCAAAAATGGCCTGGGAGAACAGCGTGACACAAAGTCCTCTCTGGGGACAGGGTAGGCAGTTCCATCTAAAATGACACACAAAGCCTTTTGTTTTGACCCCCTGAGGCTGCACTTTGCAGAAGAGCCCATCCAAGTGCCCAGGGTCACACAGCTCAGCTACATCTCACTGCCGCTGGCACGTGACACGGGCCATGTTCAGAAGGCTCCCAGCTCGAAGGAGGCTCTGCTCCCCTTCCCTCAGCCACACGCTCTGCCCACATGCAGGGCAAAGCCCCCTCCATTCACCTGCCATGGGCATTGGCCAGGAAGACACTGATCTCCACCAACTATCCTGGTATTGACATATGGATTCTTGCCGCTTGTTCTGTTGTCAGGTGGAGGTGTTGGGCTTTCTGTGGTTATTACAAAGTTCCCCTCTGTGGTCATTTCATATGCAGGAGGATCTTGATCACTCATTCCACTGCTTTGGTCAGTGGGTGAAAGAACAGACCTTTTCTTCCTTACCACAGAAACTTTTCCACAAGGGTATTTTACTGTAAAGAGAAGAATGCTGAAATTAAAGATGGAGAGAAACACCAACACAAGAAGAATCTCCTTGGAAATACCATCTCACAATATATAGCGCTGTTTCCTCATTTTCCAGACAATATGAAAAACTTGGCCCATGGAACCAAGGAAGAAACACCATATGGTTTGAAAAATGAGTTCTATTTTCTCTTCAGCTTCCATCTCACAATCATGTTTTGAAAGTATTTAAAATTTAATACACCATCTTCAATTTGTTTTTAACAAATTTAATACATCATTTCAATTATTTACATTGGTAGATAAAGGTAGTTCTTCTTAATAAAATGTACTTAATTTGGAGACTGGGTGAAGTGCTTTATTTTAGGAATAATATGGCTAATGACAGCAATTTGTTATTAGCTATAAAATACATAAAACCTGACATGATATCTAATTGGTTGACCTACCCCACCCCTGTGGTATTTGAAAATACAATAAATTTGTACATATGTACATTGGATAATTATGATTAGCACTATCTCTTCAGTTGCAGATTGATAAGGTTAACTGCAATTTAAGTATAAATTTTTGCAAGCTGCTCTTTTGTATGGCCTGTAAGTGTTTAAGCCAAGATCCTACTGTGATCACTTTCCTCAGTGTGGCCTCACCTTGAGTCCTGTGTACAGTTTTTGACATATAAATATCAGAAAGATATAAAGTTCTTAGAGAGCGTCCAAATGAGGGCAACAAAGACGGTAAAGGGCCTTGAGGGGAAGTATGAGGAGTGGCCGAGGTCACTTGGTCTGGTCAGCCTGGAGAAGAGGAGACTGACGGGAGGCCTCATTGTGGTCAATAACTTTCTCCTAAGGGGAAGAGGAGGGGCAGGCACTGATCTCTCCTCTGTGGTGTGGACCAGGACATGGAATCACAGAATCCTTTATTTTGGAAAAGATCTCCAAGATCATAGAATTCAACCTTTGACAGATCACCACCTTGTTAATTGGACTGTAGCTTTACATGCTACATTCAATTGTTTCTTGAAAATCTCCAAGGATGGTGTCCCCACCACTTCCCTGGGGAGTGCATTCCAGTGCTGGACAGCCCTTTCCATGAAGAAATCCGAGAGGATGGCAGGAAGCTGTGTCAGGGGAGGTTTAGGTTGGAAAGTAGAAAAAGGTTCTTCACCCAGAGGGTGGTTGGGCATTTGAACAGATTCCCCAGGGAAGTGGTCAAGGCCCCAAGCCTGACAGAGTTCAAGAAATGTGTGGACAACAATTTCAGGCACATGGAGTTATTCTTGGAGAAGTCTAGTAATAGTCCAGGAGTTGGATATTGATGATCATTGAAGATTCCTTTCAAACAGGATATTCTGTGATTCTATGATTTTTTGTTATCTTATTAACAGCAGAATTTACTCTGACATGCCTCACGGAGAGCACCTTGCAAAGGGTTCAAAATCATGTACATTTTGATCCACTCCATCACAACACCTCACAAATGGAAGGCTTTGGAAATACAAATCTCCTGGCCTCACTGTTGGATCTATGTCATGTAGGATACTGGTGGTTCAAAAGACATTCCTCAATTGCAAACCAAGACATCTCTTAACAATGAAACAAGTCTCACCAAGCACTGCTATTGCTTTATCTCATGGCTTCGTACCTGTTGCAACACAGTGTTTGCCATCCTCTGCTAGAACATACCCATCTGCACAGGAGCACACCACATCCTTCCGCCCATCTCTTTGGACGCTGCAGAACTGCTCACAGTCCCCGTTGTTTATTCTGCAGAACTTTGGGATGACTATAAAAGAGATGGTGGCAGAAAAACTGGACATAAACACTGACTTCACAGAAGATCTGGAAGTTCTCCAAAACAAAACACCCTCTTCAAACAGGATCTGTATCCCCACCTGCCAAGCACCTGAAGCACTCTTGAGGAATAGCTCATGTGAGTGCTGAACATCAGCTTGTGCCTTACAAAGCAGCCACATCCAGCACACCAAATGTCCTTGCCAGGTCTGAGTGGGACCAGTGGCCATGGCATGGTGAGCTCAAAAAGCAGAGACAAATTCTTAGGGGAACAATGAACAAAACACTAACACAGAACATAATTGTGTAAATCTTCACACAATTCTTCCCTCCTGCCCGAAAAACTCCAACTCCTCATCACTCCCCTCAGTCCTGTGACTGAAATTCAGTTTCACATTCCTGCTCTTACTTCTGGGCTAATGATACCCCCCTGTCACAGGGGCAGCTCTATGCCACAGAAGTGAGCCCCAGGAAGGATTTCCATGCAAAACATGCTTCCCTACAAAGCTCCCTGGGAAGTTTTCTGCCACGGTTCTCTAAAGCAGAAACTTACCAAATTCACAGTTCTTGCCTTGATAACCATCCAAGCACGTGCAAGTGTAGGAACCAATTCCATCTTTACAGTGGCCACCATAGTGACAAGGATTTGAACTGCACTGGTTCCCATCTACAAAAACAAACCAAAACCCAAATTACTGTAAGCGTGCAAGCATTTTCAGTGGCCGCAGAAGGGCTCTTAGTTTTCTTAAGCCATCTTCCATCCTTCCTTTCAAAATATATGTCCTGTGAGTTGCCACATTCCAGATGGAACAAACAGTGTAAACATAATGATTCCAAACCTGCAATGATTTATCTTTATATCCTCAGTTTTGCAATCTCTTTTTGGTGGCCACTGTATTATGATGTGCACAGAAGGCTTTTTTTACAGGAAGGTTAAGTAATACATAGTGGTCAGAGTCTACATAACTTACAGTGAATCCTGTAAAACCAGACAGGACATTTCTATATTGCAACTTCTGGCTGAAAACCATCAACTTTTATTTCCTCAAAGGTCATCTGAGCCCTTCTGCATGTCTTTTGCCTGCAGAGCTGTTCATTTAAAGACACAGATACTGGCTTATTAAGCAGAAGCTAATAAAACCTCCAAACTTTACAAAACCCTGCTAAAGTTGCATGAGCAGGCCAAACTTCTACTCTGTACTGCTTAGAGAACCAAAATTATCTCACTGTATTCATCGAGGTATGAGCTTGAGCTTGCAGTTATTACCTCTCACCTCATGCTGCCCACATCTATGCTGGCATCTTGAGTTCTGCAACTTTTCTTCCTTTCCTAGACACAGCTGACTGACCGGACTCCAGGGCCCCAGCCACATATACCTCAGAAACTCAGTTTATGAGGACACTGAGGTCAGGGAGGTAACTCTGCATTTGGAAACATGTTTCATGTAGCAGCTCTTTCTCCCACCCATCTCATTCCTTTTCCGACATGGTCTTTCCCATTTAATGCTCTGCTGCAAAAAATGTGTTACCCCCTCACATATGTTCTCTGGAATGCACTGTTTCATACAAGAAGTAGGATATCCAGAGAAGTGACACTTGCTCAAGAATTCATTGGTTTACAGAAGACAAATTTCAAATTTCTAAATTTTACACCTGCTTTGCCCCTGTTTAGAGCAGGGTCAGAATAGGTGGGATAATTTATTTTATTAAATACAGCTGTGATGTTTTGTGAAGAATTAGAAAATCACAGTGATATATGGAGTAGGGTTCTTTTTCTCCTCTGTACAGTTAAATATTGTGGGTATCATTTTGTCCCTGAACATCTTACAAATGGATAGTAAGAGTTATTTAATTATTATGTCTCCTGAGAATATGACAAATAGCCCATTAATTGTGTGGAGCCTTTGAAAACACTACAGATCAACATACTGACCCCATAATTTACACTGACACAATTGCCACTCCAAAATGGAATTCCCCATGTGCCTCAGCCCTGGATATCATTACCCTGCAGCTGGCAAAGTGGAGCAAGGTTGGTGAGACAGCAAAGCCACTGAGTGTTCACTCATATCCCCTGCCCCACAAAGCAAAAACATGGACAGCTCCCTGCATGGATTAGGCAAAGCAGCACAGAGCCAAGGTGGAGCAAACACTGTACCTGTCTGCCTCATCTGAAGGAAAAGGAGGACAGTGGGAAGAAGCCACATTGTCCCACGATGACCTGCCATGCCCATCCTCCGAGCGCAGTGCGCATCACCCGCTGCTCGCTCTGCAGGGCTCTGGGGCAGCTGCTGAGGGAGAAACACCACAGTGCAAGGGTCAGCCACTCATAGAAAACAAAACCTCTGAGAGCAAAGTCTGCACTCAGTGTCACCACGGCACGGTGTTCAAACATGAAACATGTGCGTGTGCTGCAGCAATGCCCCACTGATAGCTTTGTGCTGGCAGAGCACCTCTAAGAGGCTTTCCTCTCAAAATTTGGACAAAGCCTCTCTAAAGCAGCTGGACTATGCAGGCAGCCAGGAGTTAGAGTGGGTGATGGGGCTCTTGCCCATGTCCCAAGGAAGGCAAACAAGTAACAGAGCTTTGTGCCTCCTGTATGCTGGGCCGAAGCAGGAAGGCACCCCAGAAGTGAGGAGCGAATCAGGGCGCTGAGTTTGCAGGTCTCAATGAGCACATTGCAAAGTTGTTATCCACCTGCTCTGCCACAAGCACATTTGGACAGAGCACACTTCCCCAGATTCATCAATTTCATCCCATTATGAATGTTGAGGGAGTGTTATTGTTTGAAAGCAAACCAGTGGGAGATCCCAAGTCAGCCATACAATTTAATAGGAAAATTAAAATAAATGCAATGATACAGAAACACTGACAGAGTCAGAATACAACCTGACAACCTGTTAGTCCAGGTGTTGGTAGCAGTTCAATTCACTGGTGGCTGCAGTCCTCTTGAAGTGATAGATGTGGTTCTGTTGAAGCAGTGTTCCTGTAGAAGGGTTTGTTCTTCCTCTGAAGGTCCAGTGGTGGTTATGGAACTCTTGTCCTCTGGGAATTCAGTGGATAAGACTGACTGACTGTTACAAGCCTCAGATTATATGCAGATAGGAATGCTTGGTTCCTCCCCCTGGGTGGAGCATCTCACAATGGGATGATGTAATTTTACCATGCAGTGACACTCGATGGCCCATTAACAAAAGACATCCCCTGGAGTTATCAAGGATGAGTAATGAAGGAGACAAGGAACACTGCCCCATGTGGTTTTAACAGCTCATGAAGATGCTGATGGAATACATACTTTTGGGTACATCTCATATTGTACCCAAAACCGAAGGGTTATGTATGGGTTTTATGCGCTGTTTCCTTCTGTTCAAGCCACTCCAAGGGGACAGCTCTTGACAGGCCATTGTGCTCTGGGAATCAGGCTATGGAAGAAAATCCTGCCAGGTCAGTCACCTGTGCCAGGGAACAGTACACAGGAAGCTTGTTCTTACCATGCTAGTGCAGGGCACAAGGGCATGATCCTAAAAGTGACAATCTGCTGGTACTGCTCACCTGGAAACGCAGAAAACAGGGGCTGGAGAGACCTACAGGGTCACCCAGCCCAACCTACTGAGCCAACAGGGGATCAAATCGACCTCTTTCAATTTTAGCACTGTTGGACACTGAGCCCACTGCAGTGTGTTTTCCTCCCAAAGTGCATGATGCCATAACAAAGGGCAGCTTGTCCACATGTGCCCCTTAGGGCAGCCCCCATCATGCTGCACACCTGACATCTCCTTACATTTCCCACTCTGGAAGACAACCAGCACCAGAGACTTCACAGCCCTCCTGGGAATATCTACTGCAGGGCTTCTCTAGTCACAGGGCTTACTCACCATCCTTCTTTTCTTCCCTTTAGTCTCAGGACTGGCTTTTCCTTGAAGGCAGAAGAAGCCTGAGCACTAGAGACTAGCTCAGAGCCTCCCTGTCCACCATCCTAGGTACATGTCAGCTTTTGTCTGAGCCAGCCATGTGTGCTTGCCAGGAGGAATTCCAGTCTCTCAAAATCCACCAGTTTACTCAGCAGCTGTGTGCTGTGTCCCTTTCCTGGATTTTGCAATCTGTTCAATTCTGTTATGTGAAATCACTCCCAAATAATTTGTCAACATTAAAAAAAGAATGTGTTCTAATTCCTCCTTTTGTTGCAGGCCCCAGGGTTGCTTATGACCTTTGATAGGAGGTTTAGAGGCAAGCACATTTCACTCATGTCTTCTCAGCAGGCCAGATATGCTGGCACAGAAAGAGCAATGGACATAAAGTGATACCTTCAGCTACTTCAACACCTTTACAGCCCAGTCTGTGTTTTCCTTCAGGCCTCAATCTCTGCTTAAGTAGAAGAAAGACCTTAGCAAGAGTATGTAAGCAGGATTTGGTAGGACCCAGACCTAAGGCTTTCCTTTGAAGAGGGATCTTTCACCCTGATTGAGCACAAGGAGCAGCACCTGTGGGACAAAGGATTTGAACAGGAACTCAGTGGACGGAACTCAGGGAACAAACACTGCCGAGCAAACATGGAAGTAAGCCCACTGAAGAGTTTTACAGGTCAAGACCATCAAGCTGAGATAACTGACCTGCCCACTTGCTTTCCTGCCCACAATTAGTGCTGGCTGCAGCAATATTTGCTGTTTGCAGAGTTGTGCTTTGAGTTTGTCAGTCTGCTTTGCTCACAGCATCTGCTAAGGGACACAAGCCAGTACCAGCTCAAAGCGCAGCAGATGCCTAAGGAAGTTCAGTGCTCCTCAGAGCACAGAACATAAGAGATTGGAGAAGCTTTGATAAGCCACTGGAATTGTAAGGGGGTTAGAGGCTGATGGGGCTTTGTTAGAAAAAAACCCAACCAAAGGAGGAAAAAAAAAAAGAAAGAATGTTTTATTTCAAATGCTGGTGTACATGAATATTGCACCTAACTGAAACATCTAGAACAGTACACATGCAAGGAGCTTTCCAATCTTCAGCCATACACAATCCAGAACAAGATACAGAAAACACTGAATATGCACATGTATATATATATTCTGATGAGCAGAGTGTACAAATTAAACTAGAGTGAACTAGAATACTTATAAAGCAAAACCCCTTTTTAATGAGCTGCTGTGATTATTTAGCATCACATATTGATAAATTGTGTCTCAGCTTTTACCATGCAAGATCCTCTGCTCCCTTCATCTTCTGAACACATCTCAAGGTAGAAGCTAAACAACTCCAGTATGGATAAACTCCCTGCTGAGCCAGATGGCTGAAATATGAGGATTTAGTGACTCCCATCCTTCCTGCTTTCATCACGGCTAGTGACTCTTCAGAATATGTTTAGAAGTCTCTGGTTGGAGCACTCGTGACAACAGATAGGAACCACAATGGCCATTGATAAGTAATTAAAAGAAGCCGAAGACCCCAATCAGCAGCCGATTTGCTTGCGGAAATTCCCTCATTTAACCAATTCCAAACACCTTGACTTTCCACAGAGATGTGCTTTAAAGTCAGGAACTATACAAATGGAAGCAGACCATAATTTTAAGGAATCAGATCTCAAAACCATCTCAGCACATGAGCAGGAAAAGAAAGTTTCCATATCCAATCCTGCACCTTGGCAGGTAACAAGGAGGATCAAGGGACACAGCACCACTACAAACTCATGACTGTCCTTACCCAGCGCAGGAACCGGGACAGTTTGGTGTAGACCCCATATTTGCCTTTCCTTGCACATCCTTCACCCCAGCTAACAATTCCAGTAACAAAATAAGTATCCTTGTATCTGGTCACATGGGGGCCACCACTGTCTCCTTGGCAAGCATCCTTTTGCTCTGTGTGATAACCAGCACAGAACATGTTCTCAGTTATGGCTAAGTTAGTGGATTGCTTGCAAGTGTTCCTATTAACATAGGGCACCTCAAGCACCTTCAGTTTTTTGGACGTTCGTCCGCCTTCAAATTCCCGTCCAAAGCCACTAACCCTCCCAGACTTCTGTGTCATCAGAACTTCATTAGCAAAGTCTGCTTTGGGGAGACATGCTGGGATGACGTACTCTGAAAACGTGATAGGTTCCTTCAGTTTTAGTAAGGCGATGTCATTATCGTAAGTCTCAGCAATAAATTTGGAGTGAACGTATATTTTGTCCACAGTGTGCATTGATTCAGACTGCTCCTTCTTCTCTCTGTCCACCTCACCTGCACAAGAGCATTAAAAGGGTCATCAATGTGAAGAAAGTATAAGAACTTCAGAACAACCTTGACAGAGGAAGAGAGTAGTATATTCATTCTGTGTACTTTGCCCAGGACTTAGACCACACAATGAAAATGTAAACAGGTATGGCAACATTTCTTAGCAGCAACTGGCTTGGCTTTGGTCCTGAGATTTGGTCTATGGAGATTTTTATGTACCAGTTTACACAAAGGCATAAGCTGATTCAGCTAAACTAATGCAATTTTGTGTGGAAGCACTTCCAGGAGCTTGAGCCTGGCTTAGAGAAGAGAACAGGGTCTGGACTACAACAGTGCAAAGATGAAACTGTGCTGATTCTGTGTCCTGGCTCAAAGGGAAGCCATGGGAAATCTGAGTTTGTTCTTGTCTGCTCTATTCAATGAGTCAGAGCTTTTCTGAGGGTTCTTGCAAGAACAACTCTGGATGCTTCTGAAAAGCCTGGAATGATGGGCTTCCTGCAGAAGCACTGCTCTGCTGAACACCTTGATAACCAATATTTCTAGAATATTTAACTTCCAATCACTTCCAGCAATCACTTCCAGCTAGCTGGCAGAGAAGAAAGAGAGGCACCTGTTGTTACAAAGAAGGATGGTCAGAATGACAAAAAATTATAAAAAGCAGCCAAAAGGTAACAAAACTCAATGAATCACGAGTACATCTCATGGGAGATTTAAGGCACAGAAAGTTCGGCCCAACAGCTACTCTCAACTCAGAGGAGTAAAAAAAATACTCACCAACAACAACTTGGATTTCTTTGGATTGGTTTATACAATGAGCTGCAGTAAGTACAAAATTTTCATTCAGAATAGTTCCACCACAAAACTCTTCTCCTTCCTCATTTAACAGAACAGCCTGTGAAATAAAAAAAGTGCACAGGAAGAAGTGCAGTTTAATGTCGACGAGCTATAAAGCGCTAACTGATTTCTTTGCACACTACAGAGATGCTTCTTACTACAACATGTATGCGGCCCTCCACGTCCCTCCTAGCTTTGCATTC